TAAAGCTCATTTTTTTTTTCCATTCCAGAGGCCTCCTTTAAGTGACTCTCCTTATTGCCTCAGTGAGGCGAACGTTAAACGGTGGTGGCTGCACAAGCTGCGTTGGAGAGAGCGTTCAGCCACTGTCTACCCTATTCTTACAGAACTTGGAATGTGGTCTCATGAATCTGTGTGCCCAGCAGAAGAAAGACAGCATCCTGGAACCTCCCAGTAGCCTGAGTACACAGAGGATAGGAAGTCCACACCTTCCCAAGCCTCCAGTTCCCCTTAATATGAGCAGAAGTCTCTGATTGTGTATGTTCTCGGCTCCCATCCTCGGCAGAGAAAATGAGCTTGAGTTTACAACCCCCCAACTTCCTTTAATGACTTCCTCAGGCAAAGCCGACCAGAGGAAACCAAGGTCTTGGCTGTCTGAGGGATCTTAAGAGGAAAGAGTGTCTTTGAAGCTGCTCCATTCTCCCCTTAAATCTGAAATGGGTCACACATGGCAGGCCTGTGCTGGCTGTGTGCAGACTCTCTGGGTGAACTGCTCCGCATCCCACTGGCCCCTCCCTGGCCCTACACGCTGGTGGTGAAGACTGAGGTCTTGTTAGCTTAGTTAACAGGTTGCAGGAGTATGTGTAGGGCGGGGAATGGAGACATCCCTCTGCTTATGACAAAGAGCTTGCTCAAGGCTGTGGAGCTGATGGCTGAGCTTTGGGGATGGCTCTGTTGGCTGAGCTCCAGCAGTGTCATTCAAGTGGCCTGAAATGACAAGTTCTGCTGCTTGCCTTATACTTTCCCAGTCTAGGGGTTTGCTGGTGCTTTTCTGGAAACAGTGGGGTCTTCTGCTTTTGCTCCTCACAACACCAACTCTGTGAGGGGGGCGGTGTGGTGCGTGTGTGTACACGTGTGTGTATGCACCACAGAATTTTCTGCATTGGTACGTTTTACGGCGATGTAGATGCTCACAGCAAAGCGCAGCCGGCCTGTTGGGGCCAGTCGCTTCGGCTTTCTTCAGGACTCTGTTTCAGCAGGATCAGAGGGAGATGAGCCCAGGTGGAGCCAGTGTACCCCTTTTCAGAGGAGCAGGTGTATTTTTCCACACTTCGGTGGGGGAAGTGATGTCTTGGAGTTTTGAGGAAGTCAGGGGTGAAGTTAGTGGAGACAGTTTTTATTTATATCCATGTGATGTATCTCAAGAGCCCAAGCTTTCATTCTACCGTCATCACGGAACCAGTTCAGAGAAGAGGAAGGGCGTAGCTTGCCTTGTTGAACATCAGCTGCGCTAAGAATGTCTAGTGTGGTGTGAATTTCGGGTAATCTGTTCGAGGCTGTATGCTGTTAGAAGGGTGACCACATCTTCCTCCTTTAGCCTGCTCTGTGGATAAAACGGTTCACTTCCAGTTAGTTGATCCACTGAGACTCAATTCTATTTTCTTCTAATTTTCCCAACATGATCCACAATGTGAGCAGTCTGGGGTTTGTGTGTGTGTGTATGTATGTGTGTGCATGTGTGTCTGCGTGTGCGCACGTGTGTGTGTGTGTGTGTTGGGGAGTGGAATTATCATCAAATTCAAAATCAGGATGTAGGACTCTAGCAAGCACCAACAACACGGGGTTAAGAATCCCTGATTATCTATCATATTAGATAATGTCTTCAGTCGCCAGCGTCCATCTTGACAGCACTCGAGTTCCGACATTTTCTTCCCCTCCAGCTCTTTCTGTTATGGGAAGTGAGCGTGTTTGGGGACAAACATGACAGAACTGTGAGGGAGAAGCTTGGCAGTGATGTGCCCTGTATGATAGGCTTGACGGGAATAGAGAAACAACACACCTCAGTTTTTCCTCAGACGGTTCTCAACTTCTGGTTCAGAAACATGACTCAGAAGCCACAGAAGGGGAAGCACCCCTCAACTCAGAGAGGGCTCTGGCAGCTGGTCTTTACTAAGGAGCCAACAGTGGCCATTTCTGCATAACAAGAGCTGAGGCAGAGCCTAGCCCTGCTCTACTGGGCATGTCAGAGACTGAAAGAGAGACCGTTTGTCCTTCATAATGAGAAGAATCGGGGTAAATGTCTAAAAGGCAAAAGTCTGTAATGATGGGGCAACGAGAAACTCTAAGTGGCGGGAAGCAGGCGTGCATTGGCATAAATATCGAGACTTTTCTGGGGTTTGCTTAACCCCAGCCTTTGAAAGTTTGCCTTTTACGAGAATGAACGTGGTTTAGTAGTGAGCAAATATTAGTTCACGTAATTAGAACCTGTTGAGTTGAACAGGAAACATTCAGTGGACGTCTGCAGGTGCTTGCAAGCAAGGCTGAAGTAGGAACATCTTGGTATGTTGATCCCCTTTCTTCCCCCCCCCCCCAGGGGAGTGTCCCTGGATTGGAGCCAGGAGGGTAAGAGGAGATAGACAACTTGTAAAACACACGAACAGCACAGGAAGGCTCTGAACTTATCAATAAGGTTCCTACTCTGGGGAAGGTGTAAAAGGTGTCCCCAGATTTTTCACTTTGTTTGTTAAAAAGGTGTAGGCATATCCTACCCTACCCCCATCCTTTTTAGAATATGACATTTGTAAACTTCCTCCATCTTAGGGTTTGAGTCTATTATCAACTCTATTTCAGGTTTCACAGACTAAAGAAAGAGTTCACTATGACTTAAGATTTAAAAAAAAAAAAAGTCAGCTTGTTTTCTCAAATCCAGTCTCTGTGCCTTCATCCTTAAGCTGCGGTGGTGAATGGGAGGTGGGCTCATTGCTATGTTAAGTCCTTTGCAAGCCAGGGCGGAGGAAAATCAATGAGGGGTTGTGTGACTCACCAAAATGCGTCAGAAGATGTGATATACACCATGAGGGGAAAACAAACAAACAAAAAAAAGCCCTGGTGGAAAATTAGTCTTCTTAGTGAGATTTATCTGTGCTGACATTCAGAACGAGCCGGAAACAGGAGTTGAACACTGACAGATTAAGAAGAGGGTATCTGTCACTAGTATGTCTATATTATTTGTGTGGGGGGATTGGTACATGTGTGCACACACATGTGGAGATGAGAGGTCAATGCCAGGTTCTTCCTCAGTCACTTGAAGAACCATCTTGCCTCCATTTTAAACTTCAAAGCCATCTTAGTAAAGACAAAATAGGCGCACCCCTGTTTATGGTTAAACCTCTGTTTCTCAGGGATTAGGCTATGCTCCATCTGTAATCTTAACTAGAAATGGCTCTGATTGTCTGATCCAGGAATGGCAATCATGTCTTTGTTCCAAAAAGTTGTTCATAATCATCTTGCAACCCTACCTGTTTCAAAAGGTTCTAGGACCACCTCTGACCGACTACCTTGTTATGATTACCTGTTGTCATGACTACCTTGTTGCACCCACCTTGCAACCCTGTCTTTGTTTCAGCAGGTCATCAAGACTAACTTGCTACACTTATGTTCTGCTCCTGTAATCCTGGATGTTTTTGCCTTCCAATCCCCCCCCATTTGGAAACCCCCTACCCTGAGCTAGAAAACCCTTGTCTTTCTCACATCCAATGCTGACCTCTTGAACCCCACCTTAGGGGGAGGCAGCTGCACGTGGATAAAACAGCTTGCTTTAATTAATTTGGCCATGATGATTTGGGTCGGTAGTCTTTCTCCTCCTGTCTTTGGGATTACTTTATTTTTTGAAACAAGGTCTCTCACTGAACCTAGGTAGCGCAGTGATTTGGATAGACTGGTGTTTTTCAGTCTCCAAGGAACTGCCTGTCTGCTTCTTCAGTGTTGGGGTAGCACTAAAGGGACCAGCTTTTACGTGGGTGCTGGGGATCAGCATGCAGGTCCTTCTGCTTTTATTAGCAAACGGTTTGCCAACTGAACCGTCGTCTCCCTACCCTGCCTATTTCTGTGGTGTTTGTAATGCCGGTTGCTTCTATAACTAACCATGTCCCGGCACTTTTACAGAACTGGTCTAGGCTGGCTCTCTTGCTGACATGACTGTCTTTCCATGGGCCAGCTCTCACCTACTCTCAACTTAAGTGGCTTAAGGGGGGGATTGGCTTTGTCTGGGCTTTAGGTAGGCGGTGACTCTGTCTGGTCAATAAGAAACTATTTCCTTAGCACTGTGATTGGTGATTGATTATGGGGTGGGCTTGTGTTTCAGACTGGACTAGTTTGGGAGGTTTTTTGTTTTTGTTTTTCTTAAATTATCAGGGACAAGGTCTCTTCTTTCTGCTTGGATCCCAAACTGAGGGGCTCTCATTCTGAAGCTTCAGGGGACCCGTCCACAGAGGGAGAAGTCTAGGGGTAGAAATGTCCGTCAATGCTTCATTTGAGCAGTTGGATCCAGTGGGAAGGGAAACTCTACCCTTGAACGTTTTAGTAACTGGAGCCAAAATATTCACTTTTTAAGTCATTTTGTGCTTGTCCCTAGCAAAGCAAACAATCCTACAAAGTCTTTATTCATTTGCTTTCCAAAGAAACTGTGGTGGGAGGAGCCGGAAATACAGAGTGGGCTCCCAAAGTCTTCCACGGGTCACCTTTTAAATGAGCTTTTTAGCCCTCAGCAACGAAGACCCTGAGACCTGATTCTTCAGCTCTCTGGCCTGAGGGATTTTCAATCCATAGCCAACTTCTATGTGCTACGTGTTTTTTCCATGAATCAGAGAAGAAATATGCAGCCCTGTAGCCACAAAGCAAGCGAGCCCTGCCAGTTCGCCCTTTGTGTCTTTCCAAGTCTTGTTTCTCCTGTGTCACATGGGAGTGAAGTGTCACAATGACAACCCGGCTGGATGTATCAGCCGCTGAAGAGACTACCAAGAAAAGACTTATTAACCAAGAAGCAAGTTCAATGGAAAAGAACGGCACAGAGTCAGGACCACGTCTCTATAACACATTTTCCGCTTTGTCAGGAAAACTCCTGGCTAAAGGCCACTTCTGAAAAATGTAAGAATATAATGGCTTTCCCCGAGGGCTGCTATGCCTTGGGTACGATGAAGGTTTGCCCACAGTCTCTCTTGTTGAAATAGGAGCGGCCCCGGCACCCGGCTGCCCGCATGGCTAGTTTATACCCAGAAATAATTACACGGAAACTGTATTCTTTCAAACACTGCCTGGCCCGGCTAGGTCCAGTTTCTTATTGGCTAGCTCTTACATATTGTTCTAACCCATTTCTAATATTCTGTGTAGCCCATGAGCTGGCTTACCAGAGAGGATCTTAACCTGCGTCTGTCTGGAG